ATTGTGCGATAAATATATTGTGAGAGAGAATATTCCAAGAATATATAGTCAAGATTCTTATGAATAATGTATCGCAGTGAATGATTATTTGACATGATCCGAAAGTAATTATAAAGTAATACTGAAAATTTTGTGGAATAAATATATTGCACGTGATTAAAACTGATTGTGAGTTACTGTTTATCAATATAAAATGAATTGTGGTATATTATATTATAATTGACTGAGGGTCAATGTTTACATAATATAGAAATTGTTGGATAAATAAGTACGTAAATTGTTTATTATATCGGCATGTGTTATCATACAATATAATCATATCAGAAACATTTAATACAAATATTCAAACACTCCGCCCTTAGGACCTATATTATTCTTTTAACAAAAAATAAAGGAAGATATATACAGCTACACAATAATATTTTGCATAGCGGTTTTCTGTACAACAAAGCTTGCATTTGTATGTATGATTAATATAATATATATTTGAGGTGTACCTCAGAAAATGCGTTAAAAGGAAAATAAAAGTATTTAGATCCAACATAGAGGAAGTTGTGTTGCAATAAACGCTAGATAACAAATCTGATCTGTATTTCGAGTTTTCTGTACAATTTAATAAAAAGTGGCACTCGTACTCTACTTTATTTTATATTTTGAACAAAAAATAAATAAATATATTACTGATTATTGGTCACTGTATGTATGTATATAAAAAATGGGGGGGGGGGTTAATGTATAATGATTGTACCAGTTTGTGGGTCACTGTAGATATGTATATAACGGATTGTGCAATAAATACATTGCACTTGCTTAAAACTTATTGTGGGTCCCTGTATATTCATTGTATGTTAATAATCAATTGTTGGATTAATATATTGCAGGTAGTTAAAACTGTGGGTCACTGTTTATATGTATATAATGAATTGTGGGATGAATATACCGCATGTGATTATACATGATTGTGGGACACTCTATGTATAGTAAATGTAGTGATCATCGCTGTTTGTGGGTCACAATACATATATGACATTGTTGGGCAGTTGATTGTATGAATTACATTGCGACAGAGAATATCCATAGAATATCTTGTTTAGATTCTTATAGATAATTTATCGCAGTAAATCATTATTTAATATGAAATTTTATATTGAAATCAGCGAAACTGTTCTTATTGGTTAATTCTACTATGTATATAAGTAAATATACATACATGAATATATTTATTGATATTTTATCAAACATTAATTCTAATGTCTTTTCATTGTGAATTACAGCAAATAATATTATATATAGCATAAAATAATATTGCGGGTCATAGAATTAATAAGTGAAGAGCATTGTGCGATGTATATAGTTTATCCCACAATGCCCTATATATATGAATGTTTTGACCCACAATTATATACAATATTTATAATATTAACTCAAAAATTATATTATATATTACATAAGGACCATATATAACGCCTAAATCATGAATATGGCATATCTATGCAATGTAGAAATGCGAGATCCCACAAACCAGCTTAGAAGCTCGGTGCCCACAAACAACCTCATATACCTATATATATATATATATATATATATATATATATATAGTGCGACAGAATTTTAGAATAAGATAGGAAGATGGAAATATAGAAGACTTAGAAGATAAAACTGTTAAGGATAGATAAAGTTACTCACTTACTTGGACTATTACTTAATATTTCTTGGATTTATATGTACATGTGATAGTTTTACTTGGATTTTATTTTTTGTGAATTATTTTTCCTGAATGTTTCTATCATATTTGTGATGTGCTGTGTAAATAAACTGTAGACTAGAATTTTTGCATCTATTTTCAAGATATGATGAACAAGGATAAATTAATTTATTCATGCAAACTGACATTATGAAATGTGTTGTAAGACCGCTCAATGTGGCGCTACAAACTAACTAGGAAATATCTTGGAGATTTACAGATGAACATGCAAGCATTCATGATTTTGAATGTTATTCAGCCAGAGAGTTTTTGCACAAATTTAATATTCAGTACAGTAATTTAAACTGGATGTGTTATTTTCAGTACAGTTATGTAAAATGAATATGTTACTTATTATGATTGTCAATTTCTCAAGAGACATAATTGTAGTAGATTTATACGATCACTTTTGCAGAACAAAACACACAGAACTTTTTTCTCTGTGTGCATCATACACTTGTAAATGTTTTATACCACCATAGTTACATATTTTCCATTGATGACTTGTACGTCGAGCACAAACATGAAAATATGTGAAGCGGAGTATAGATAAGCAAATACACATGCATCTGCACAACCTATTACATATTTTCCAAGGTGTGTGAAGTCGAGCACATACATGAAAGTGTGTGAAGCTGGACACATACACAAATACACATGCATCTGCCACTACCTATTACATATTTTCCAAGGTGTGTGAAGTCGAGCACATACATGAAAATGTGTGAAGCTGGACACATACACAAAAACACATGCATCTGCCACAACCTATTACATATTTTCCAAGGTGTGTGAAGTCGAGCACATACATGTGAATGTGTGAAGCAGGACACATATGCAAATACACATGCATCTGCCACAGACATAAAAACTAAACTAAGTCAAGCTCAGACTGGCTCACTGGGTGAAGCTGGACTCATACATGTTCTCATACATTTTGCAAACTGCATCTTCACATATATTCTAATAGATTTTTCAGCATTTTTGTGTTTGTGAATATGTAAATTGCATCATTTTGCATTACAAGTTGAAGATGTTAGCCTGTATATAAGCGCACATCAGATAGCCTTTTATGTACTTTTTCCCCACATTTTCAATTCAATTTAAACTACAAAGTTTATTTTGTATATGTACATGCACCATAAAGAATAAATAATATTGTACTGATATTATATTTTAAAGCGAAATGGGACCTCCATTTCATAAGCAGAAATGTGAAATTTATATACCTATCATCTATATTTTTTTTATAATTTTGTCTTACATGTATCTGAATATTTGAAAGAAAACAAAAGTCAAAGATAGCTCAATATAATGTTTATATTCAAGGTTATAACTGGATATTTGTGCTGTATGATTTCTGACTCATCATATGATGAGAAGCCATAATACAGAATATTTTAAGATCATTTTTGTTTGGAAAATGAGAATTGTCAATATGCCATTTTTTTTTTCCATTGTTATATGTTAAATTACTGTATCATTATTAATATCAATTTACATATAAAAAATCTATGCCATCCAATCCAGAGAGTTGTAGGCAATCCTTATGCGCATAATAGTTATTTTTTTCCGCGCTTCGTAGTATAGTGGGAGCACATTGTATGATAGGAACACATATTAATGGTTTTGCCTGTATATGTGGGCGTGGCCGAAGGAAGGCCAATGAGAAAGGAGTATTCAGTAACGTGTTAGAATCATTCTAAGCCAGTGCTCTTCAATAAACACATGTTTTTTGTTGTTTTTTTTTTGCTTTATATATAATGTATATCATATTTGTATAAATATACTGGAAATGGAAATAACAAAACTGTTGAAATGTATTTTAATTTCGATTTTTTTTACACTAAATATTATAGGGTGTTCATGAAATTCAGTACTGCACCGAATGTACGTCCGGCATTCTCCCTTGAGACATTATTTACATAGCGACGGACACAGGTTTTCCATAGTTAACCATCTATGGTTTTTTCCTGGGCGGTTTTTAATGTCTGTGATAGGGGTATAATTTATTACATTTAAAATATTTTACAAATACATTGCAGTGCTTTATTGTTTCACAATCAATGTAATGTTTGTTCAATATTTATGTATTGTTATAAAAAAATGCCATCTGCTCCAACTAAGCTAAACTGGCTTGCAGCATAGGTGTTGTTTTATTTGAGGTGTAGTCTGTCAAATAATGATGAGTCGAGAATATACTAAGAGGGTCTCTGAGGAAACTTGCCCTTGAATGTTTATGTAAAATCTGAATAAAAAAAATTATCAAACTTTGTAATTTTCAATCTTTGTCTTTTTATTGCCTGTTTTAGTAAATGATACATGTGATCTTGTATTGTTTGTAACAGTTTATGGTCAACATTTATAAAAAGGAAGTTAAAACAGAAAAGCTTCCAGTATTTCTTTATCAAAAGCAATTAGAAATGAGTTCTCCCTCTATCTGACGTAAGCAAATCAGATAAAAGTTTTACAAATCATTAGGAATTTAAGTTTTGTTGTACCTGTATTCTGATTTACATTTTTGATTGTCCCTCTGCATTATTTCAAGTTGAAAAACATTTAAATTTGTTTGATTCCGTAGATGACCATTTCTAATACTAATTTCAACTGGAAGTGGAAACGAGATAATTAAAATATATCTTTGACATTTGTCTTAAAATTCTGGGTATCGACTAGATCAGATTCTTTAAACTAACAGTGAAAATCCAAAGTATAAGTGTATTAAACAATCAGCATTTAAATAAGGCTTTGATAAAATATGTATATTTAATGAACTTTAATATGGCATTAAAGGTGAAAGGTTATATTTAATTATCTTTTCGTTTAAGTAAAGGTTAGCTTTACACCTTTATTTTTTGTAAAGTTAATACAAAGATGACCTTGCTTTTTGGAGCACCTTTAATAAAATTTACTTTGCAAGTAAAGTTTTGTAAAAGGTGTTTTTTCAAGCAGTGCTCATCGCTACTGTAACAAATTCATTCATCACGCCGAAAATGTTCATGATTCCGCTAAACTAAGAAAGTTAACACATGGTTTATCATCTCATAACAAAAAGCAGTCCTGTCCAATGCAGGAATGCTCGAGTTAAAGAGGAAAATTCAGGAATTATTTTGCATCGGCCATATTTTGCCGTGAACCTAGGCGACATTTTATCTTAAGGTCTTCCGTTTCAGACGGAAGACCTTATAGTGATTCTACTGTTTCTTTTTATTAAGGTCTTCCGTTTCAGACGGAAGACCTTATAGTGATTCTACTGTTTTTTCTTATTATTAGGGTCTTCCGTCTTCAGCGGAAGACCCTTCTATTATTCTTCGGTTTCTTTTTTACCTTTATTAGGGTCTTCCGTCTTCAGCGGAAGACCCTTCTATTATTCTTCGGTTTCTTTTTTACCTTTATTATTATTATTATTATTATTAGGGTCTTCCGTCTTCAGCGGAAGACCCTTCTATTATTCTTATGTTTCTTTTTCAATTTTCTTATTAGGGTCTTCCGTCTTCAGCGGAAGACCCTTCTATTATTCTTCGGTTTCTTTTTTACCTTTATTATTATTATTATTTTTATTCTTTTTTCTTCTTACAAAATTTGTGCAGACGATTTCTCGGAGATGGCTCGTTCGATTTGCTTCAAATTTTCACAGTCGATGCGTTTTCATCTGAAGTTAATTCCGGCAAATTTTTTTTTGGAAATTCACTTCCGGTCGGGAGTTATCGCCCTTTGATCAAAATTTGGAGGACCTCCTTGTCTGTGATGGAACTCAAAAACGGCTCAAGCTAGAAAGCTGAAATTTTTAGTGATGATAGAGGACATGTTGCCACGTTGCAACATGGTCAGGATATTTTCCGGAAGTGCCTAGTATGGAAGCTCGGTAGGGGTCAAAATTTAGGACACGTTTTATGAGTGATTTTTTGAGACATTTTGTATCATATCTTTTAAAATATAAATATTTTGTTAAAATATACTGAACAACATTTGTGCAAAATATCAAGATCTTTAATATGATATCAAGAAAAATGTGCTGACTCATCAAATTAAGGGCTGAAAGGGGCCAACAGTTTTTATTCAATAACTTTTTAAAAGTCAATATTTTGTAATACATTACTGAAGCACAGATGTTCATCTCAACCATCTACAACTATATATTATGATATCCATGTCGTATGGTACATAATTAGGGGCCACAAGGGGTCAAAATTGCTAAATATTAGATTTTTTATATCTCGAAAGGGAGGAATATTTTGATAAGCAATATTGAACAAAAGTTGTTCAAAATAATGTTCTAAACAATATGCAACCTTTCATTTTTTGCTAAACGTCCCCATTAAGGAGTTGAAGGGTTGGCCCCTAAAAATTTCTTTTTCTAATATCTCAAAAACGAAAAAGAATTTCTGAACAATTGTTGAACACAAAATGTTCAAAATCTTAAGATCTTTAAGATGAGATCCCGAAAAGGGGGCTGGGCACTCAAATTAGGGGCCAAGAGGGGCCAAAAGTCTTCAATCGATAACTCTTTATCGGTTAATATTTTGTAATACATTACTGAAGCAAAGATGTTCATCTCAACCATCTACAACTATATATTATGATTTCCATGTCGTATGGTACATAATTAGGGGCCACAAGGGGCCAGAATGCTGAAATCTTTGATGCTTTATATTCTCGAAAGGGAGAAATATTTTGATAAGCAATATTGAACAAAAGTTGTTCAAAATAATGTTCTTAACAATATGCAACCTTTTATTTTTTGCTAAACGTCCCCATTAAGGAGTTGAAGGGTTGGCCCCTAAAAATTTCTTTTTCTAATATCTCAAAAACGAAAAAGAATTTCTTAACAATTGTTGAACACAAAATGTTCAAAATCTTAAGATCTTTAAGATGATTCTCGAAAAAGGGGCTGGGCTCTCGAATTAGGGGCCAAGAGGGGCCAAAAGTCTTCAATCGATAACTCTTTATCGGTTAATATTTTGTAATACATTACTGAAGCAAAGATGTTCATCTCAACCATCTACAACTATATATTATGATTTCCATGTCGTATGGTACATAATTAGGGGCCACAAGGGGCCAGAATGCTAAATCTTTGATGCTTTATATCTCGAAAGGGAGAAATATTTTGATAAGCAATATTGAACAAAAGTTGTTCAAAATAATGTTCTTAACAATATGCACTTTTTCATTTTTTGCTAAACGTCCCCATTAAGGAGTTGAAGGGTTGGCCCCTAAAAATTTCTTTTTCTAATATCTCAAAAACGAAAAAGAATTTCTGAACAATTGTTGAACACAAAATGTTCAAAATCTTAAGATCTTTAAGATGAGATCCCGAAAAAGGGGCTGGGCACTCGAATTAGGGGCCAAGAGGGGCCAAAAGTCTTCAATCGATAACTCTTTATCGGTTAATATTTTGTAATACATTACTGAAGCAAAGATGTTCATCTCAACCATCTACAACTATTTATTATGATTTCCATGTCGTATGGTACATAATTAGGGGCCACAAGGGGCCCGAATGCTAAATCTTTGATGCTTTATATCTCGAAAGGGAGAAATATTTTGATAAGCAATATTGAACAAAAGTTGCTCAAAATAATGTTCTAAACAATATGCAACCTTTCATTTTTTGCTAAACGTCCCCATTAAGGAGTTGAAGGGTTGGCCCCTAAAAGTTTCTTTTTCTAATATCTCAAAAACGAAAAAGAATTTCTGAACAATTGTTGAACACAAAATGTTCAAAATCTTAAGATCTTTAAGATGATATGAAAAAAGAGGGCCGATTCCTAAAATTAGGGGCCGTTAGGGGCAAAAGGCCGATTTTTTAAAGACTTTAATGTTCAATGTCTTTTTACAGATTGTGGTAAATCATTATTTTAGAATGAAAATCGCAATCAAAATCTTATCTCATCTCATCAAGAATTGGACGGAAGACCCACTCGTTGCTCGCAACGAGATCTCATCTAGTTATGTCGCCCCGAACGAAGTCGGGGACGACATATTGATATTGTACGCATGTTTTTTTTATCCAGGCTGTTTCTCGGAGATGGCTGGGACAATCTTCCTGAAACTTTCCTTCAAGGACGATCACTGGTTGTAGTTGTGCAGTGAGGTCGTTCAGTTCCAATATGTCTACCGTTGCCATGGAAACCTGTAAAAAGCGACAAATTTTGTCCGAGAGTGTTCTCTCTGGTCCCTTAAACGTTCGTCATGAAACTTTTCTTATTTTAATGATTAGTATCTGTAGTTCTGCAACTCGTATTTAAAATTTTCATATAATCGATTATTGCCATGGAAACCAGGTGAAAGTTAAAATTCTTTAATTTCGATTTTCTCAATAACTACTCAGGCAATCGTTTTGAAACTTTCAATGTTTATTCCTTGCAATGTGTCAAAGTGATTTCTACTTTCAAAATAATTGTAATGAGTCGCTCACGGTTGCCATAGAAACGAAACAGAAAAAAAAGATTCAGATGTACACATGTCTTCTCCAAGGTCTAGGTCAAAGGGTCAAAGTTCGTCGTATCCAATAAAAGTTCTTTTCACAAGGATTACATATTTGAAATACGAAAGCCCTAGTACTTACCGTTCAAACGTTATGGCTATTTACTATGTTCAAGACGCCCCCCCCCCCTCTTTTTATGAAGCACACAGCCAAGTAGAATACACAGATATAACATATACAACTTACAAGTAACTTTTTAAAATCTTCATTCATAAAATTCAGTTCCCGTCATGTGATATTTTGCCATCATTCATTCTCCTTCTGTTTTGTCTCTTGAATTTATAAATATTTTATTTTATCTATATAAAAAAAAAATAACGATTGTCAGCTGCATTTATTATCATTTCGCGTTTTCTTGTATATCTATCACTTGTATATTATTCATTTCATTAGATAGTGCAAGTATAAATTAAAAAATTGGTACGTCATTTCCATAGTTTTTATTCATTCATAAATTCTTTGATCCGCTCCTGATGGTTCGCAAAGCCTTGATCACCACTGTATACAAAACATTCATCTCGCCGAAAATGTTCATGATTCCGCTAAACTGAGAAAGTTCACACATGATTTATTATCTCATAACACACATCAGCTCTCTGCAATGCAGAAATGCTCGAATTGAAGGGGAAAATTCAGGAGTTATTGATGAGAAAAATTAGGAGTTATTATGTCGCCCCGAACGAAGTCGGGGACGACATATTGATATTGTACGCATGTTTTTTTTATCCAGGCTGTTTCTCGGAGATGGCTGGGACAATCTTCCTGAAACTTTCCTTCAAGGAC